ACTTAATGATTTTGGAAAGGAATGTAGCACCGGGGGGTCTGGGGAGCATGGAATGCCTCCCAGCAGTACCCTCAGCGAAGGAACACTGGATATTTTTTCTCCATTACACCCAAACAAACTCATATTGACTTTTCAGGAAAGGTAATCAAATTATCATATGGTGGCTGGGGGATATTCCATACCCTCCAGCCCCCCCCCCCCAGGTGCAACGTTTTCCCACAAAAGGGCCCAGGCTCTCACAATTACTTTTTAGAGAAGAACAGACGGATGTTTCTTCTCTGTGGAGTATGCTGACACCAAAAGTTTTTGGAGAACCTTGCAACCCCCCCACCCCCAGCAGTACCCTCAGCAAAAGGAAGATTTGATAATTTTCTTCTCTGTTATCCCTAACAACCTCATGCTAGGGAAATAAACAAAAAGGGCTATAGAGGACAGTGTGGGGTAGAAGACAACTAGAGCAGGAGGGGAGGCAGCAGATGTAGAAAGGGCGAGGGGGTACAGAAACAAACAAAAGTTCCAAACGTTGCAGTAACAATAAAGTGTTGGAAAATGTCTCTTATGGTTAAAGAATTTTTTTGTCTCTGCGTTGTCCTGGTACCCAGCAAAAGTGAAGGTTCGAAGTAATGCTCATTTGGGCTTGAGATCGTGTTATCCGGTTAGTCGGAGAGGTAGAAAATGAGAGAGGCCAGGAGGAGGTAATTTCGATCAATTATTTTAATAGGTATTCAATATTCTCGAATGAGTGAAAAAGTTGTCAAAGTGTAAGATACGTTGTTGCAATTAATTGATAAATACAAATCGCATGCATGAAACAGGTTAAAAACAAGTTGCAAAATAAAGAACTGGTGTAAGTACAGGCAGGAAACCAAATCAGGTACCTAGTTGACTCGTCTTTGGTGCAATAAAACCCTTTGGTTAAAGGCAACATGGAAAATTAAATGGCCTTGGAAGCCAAATTAGTGAAACGCAAATCACACCGTACATAGATTCTAAACTGAAAAGTTTTCGTTGGCAGGGCTTCCCCGGCGACTTGTAACTGGCCCCTCGTTCGGGGTATCCCAGCCCACAGTTGTAGCTTCGGGTCAAAGCATGCGGATAAGTAGAAAATCGACATTTTCATTATATGGTTGTGGAGAGGTCACTTTGTTTTCGGTCTTATTCGACGCCCCAGAACGAAAGAATTAAAATAAATCTCCAAAAATTCGCCATATCAAAAATCGCAGATGTCGAAACTACTTATCGAAGTATTTACCTATTTTTACCGTTTTATCGGATTACAGATTAATATTGACTGCACCATAATCAGTTACTTAAACGTCTTGTTTACGAAAACACAGGCAACTATTTATCTGTCGCGCAATTTGGATAAGCATGAGAGATTATACCATTTGATTGTGTGATTAGTAAACACTTGGGAAATGAGAGTTTTACGAAAATTAGGTGAATGCTGGACGGTGCAAAAAAAACCTTCGTAAGATGATTTCGACACATCTCGAAAGACAGATTCTTGATCCTTCTCAGGATCCTGCAAATTTGCGTAGGTTTTGTTCACTTTAGACTCTACCACGAGTCTTTGATTGTTTTCTGGTGCCGTCATATGCCTTTCTCGGTCCCTGATGACAATAACATTCAAGCAGACATAATGTGGCCTTAGAAAACTGCGTCTGCCGAGCGAGCCGAAAGCTTGTTCCGCATAAATTCGGTTCACTCTAGTTTCTAGTATTTTTATTTGGAGTTACCCTGTAAAATTTCTGACTTGGCTGTACGATGCCCGGAAAAACTTTCGCTCAAGTGAATCCTAGAACGAATTTTACTGCGTCAACCGACGTGTTCCTCTTAGATGGTTTGTATACCGAATCTGTCGAGAAAACTTTGAGCTACAGATTCGTGGCGCAAATATGAATGCTTTCAAAAATCTCCCCGGAATAATCCCTACCAGTTGTTTGTTAATTAATTCACTCTCTTTTCAAGATGGCATCTACGAGTATTGTTATAGCAACTTTTGTTCTGAACGAATTTTATGGCACCATGTGACACTTTCGTTGCCCAAACCCGAAAGTTTTCACAAAATCTCGGGAATAATCCCTACCTACCTGTTCAGCAGACAGTCCGAAACATCTCCAAAATTCCAATTTAATTCAAAATCTTCTGTTTCATAGAACCTTCCCTGTTTCAGAGCTTTTCCTACCCACTAGAGGTTTTCAACCCTCCTGAATATTTCCCAAGGTGCCCTAGGGGCTTAGGAGTTTTACATTTCCTAGCGCCACCTAAAGATTTTTAGCCCGTCTCGGCTCACTCCGAGTCCTTTATTTTCCTTTATTGATTCAACGTTTCGCAGCCTAAAGGCCTCCGGGTTTCACTAAAGGATTTTTCAGCCCGCCCGACACCTAAGTTCCTGTGGTGCAGATGAGGTAATCCAATATTTTGCCGAATTAGATTATCCACTCGAGAGATACTGATAAGTGCGATTGGCATTGGTATAAAATGTGGTTTTTGTAGATTATTCCGCTATCAAAGTAGGTGTACGCCGTTTATTTTTTCTCTGGAACCATGTCTCCAATTATTGCACTCTGTTTGGCACTTTGCTTCGTTCAGGCGACCTTGGCAGCAGGTGAGTGCTCCAACATGTTTTGACACATGTACACATTATCGTTATTAGATCAAAAATGCGAAGCCAACGCCGTGTTTAGAGCCAACAAAGTCTGCGAACCTTTCTGCGGACAAAACTGGGTAGATTTAGCGTTTGAATGCACCACCAATCTCAAGCAGGGCTGCGTCTGCATACCGGGCTACATAAGAAACCCGGCCGATAAGTCGTGCGTATTATCGGAGGATTGTCCTGGAGCGAGGAAAGATTAAGTGGAATAGACGGAGAGCGTAAATTATGTTGTATTGTCTCAATAAAAAATTTTCAAAAAAACTTCAATCTCCTCAAATCCAAAACACGTATCTTTACCCATGAGCTACGTACGCTATCAGAAGTGTTTTTTCCGAATTCAGTAAATGAGTGGAAGGTTTTGTAACAAGAACTCCTTGGTAGAGGGAAGGTGAGAGGAAATTTTTCCAAATTTCTCCATTTGTCGATTGCATTTCCTAAGCTACAATGGTTCTGGAGTGGAATCTCCTTTGTCCCTAAGACAACAATTCAACAATGCCTTTCAAGAAGTCTTATCGGGTCCTCCTTTGCAAAGAAGTATTGCATACTACACAGCACCTAGAGGTCTGGGGGGTATGGAATACCCCCCAGCAGAGAGAGTACCTACTCGGCAAATGACGACTCGATGAATCATTTCCCTCTAACCCTCGGTACTGTAATGGGTTCTGGAATGGTATGGAATACCCCCCAGAAAAGATAGCTGTTGGCAAAGGATAACTCTATAAATCCTTTCCTTCTAACCCTCGGTACTTTCATGAGTACTGTAAAAGACAATGGAACCTCTGTATATTGTATTCATAGCCCCCAGACCCCCAAGTAACACTTTCAACCCCTTTCATAATAGATTTTTGGAAAATTCTTGGATCCTCTTCTGCAAAGAGTATAGCACCGGGGATATGGAATACCAATCCGCAAAGGACGATTGTAGGACCCTTTTATAAAGCTCGCTTTCAATACTAATAAAGGCTGATAGATACAATTTTTTAGAGAAGCCCCTCAAAAATGACCTTCCTAACATCCCTAAGGACTAAGATCATTGCCGGAACCTGGAGACGAGATTGGGAACTATGAACTAAACGCCCAAAATGAACACTGGAAGCTCCTTGGAAGTGGGCAACTGGAAACTGGGTGTTGGAAGCGGGAACTGCGGTATAATTTGGAAGCTGGAACCTGGAAACGAAGTTGGGAACTATAAACTAATCGCTCAGATCTGAACATTGGAAGTTAAAATCTACAGGCTCTTTGGAAGTGGGTAATCAAAAACTGGGCGCTGGATGCAGGAAAGTGGAACCGTAGGAACTACGGACGTAGCGCGGTAGAATCTGGAAGCTGGAACTAGGGGACGAGATTGGGAACTATGAACTAAACGCTCAAAACTAAACACGGGAAGTTAGAATCTGGAAGCCCTTTGGAAGCGGGTACTATCAACTTGGTGCTGGAAGCAGGAAAGTGGAACCGGAGGAACTGCGAACGTAGTGCTGTAGAATCTGGAAGCGAGGTTGGGAACTGTAAACTAAACGCTCAAAACTGTACCCAGGAAGTTAGAATCTAGAAGCTCTTTGGAAGCGGGTACTATCAACTGGGTGCTGGAAGCAGGAAAGTGGAACCGGGGGAACTGCGAACGTAGTGCTGTAGAATCTGGAAGCGAGGTTGGGAACTGTAAACTAAACGCTCAAAACTGAACCCAGGAAGTTAGAATCTAGAAGCTCTTTGGAAGCGGGTACTAGCAACTGGGTGCTGGAAGCAGGAAAGTGGAACCGGAGGAACTGCGGGCGTTGCTCTATTTTCAACGACTGGTGAACTCGATTTTTAAAGGGAGGAAAAGCCTTTAGGAATTCAAGCTCTTCTGGAAGATTCATGTACCCGCTTTCAGGATTTTGAAATCCTCTGAAAACTGTTTGCGAACTTTAAAGGTCCTTTAGTATGATCTTGAGTAAATTCAAAGACTGCAAATGCTCTAAAAATTAATTAAAAGCTTTCAAATCCCCTACAACTCTCTTTAGATACCCTTGAAGAAGACCGTTAAGCTCTACGGATATTGAACACTCTTGGAGAACCTGACTTGGAGAGCCGTTGCTCAAAGTTTTTCCAGCTTTCGTCGTTTAAAAATCAACAGGATTAATTTTTTCAGGGGATCGACGTGTTCACAGAGACCAAGGGCAATAAAGGATCACGAGGATCAAGAAGAAAGAATATCTGGTGGATAGAGGGAGTCGAGACGATTGAGAAGATCAAGAGTGGTTCCTTTGGTCAGCAAATACTTCATAAGTAAACAAAACATTTACACAAACGACAAACACTTACTTTTTCCAATCGGCACCAGATTAGATAAGCTTTGTTTTGCGTTGGGTATAAAATGCAAAATCACTTAATGCGACACTAGTGAATTAGAACTGACACTCCATTGCATATCTCCAGCGCTTGGTAAGTTTATTCTTCCATGTATCGAGGACGACTGACTTGTTCCATCTTGCAGCAGATTTTTTGGGAATTACAATGTCTCGCATTGCTCTTCTGTGTTTAGGAATGTGCTTGATCCAATTGACCTTGGCTGGTAAGTTAAGGCATAGCCTCCAAGTGTAAGTACATTTTAATTTAATTAGAACCGTGTGGACCAAATGCCGAGTATAAGGAGCACATCCATTGTGAACCTTTTTGTGGGCAACCAAAGCATCCAAAGGAATGGACGTGCACCACCGCTCCAACTATCAGCTGCATCTGTAAAAAAGGATATGTGAGAGATAGAAGGGTCACTCAAGAATGTATGAGGCAAGAACACTGTCCGATTTAGCACTTCAAATGTACCGTTCCTTTTATGTAGGTAATCGAAATATTTTAATAAACAAATAATTCTGAAGAATCAACAGATCCAAATGTTCCTAAAAAATTCTAAAGGCTTTAAAGTTTTTAAAAATTGCTGAACGACCCTTACAGTTTTGTTAACTGTCGTAGAAGACCTCTAGAATCCCTTAGAGACCTTTGAGTATATCTAAATATTTTGACGAATTCCTAAATTTCGTAAAGGCTTATAAAGTCTCTAAAAAAACCTCGAACCTCTTGAACACCATCAAACAGGGCTCTTGGAAGCTGTAAGGTTATGCCTAATTATTATTATAGTGTTAGGGGTAGTCCCAGTCGGTTCCTGCACTGCTCCCCGGTATCGTCTACCCTTCAAGAGTACTTGTATCTTCCACAAAGTCCTTTGATAGGGCGAACCCTCCTTACTTCGTCTTGCCTATTTTTTCACTTCCAAGTAGGCGTTTCCTTGCCCTTGTGAATGCTTCACATTGGCAAATTACGTGGTGTGGTGTTTCTTCCTCCTCGCCACAACACCTGCACAACGGGCTATCAGTCAGTCCCATTTTGTGCAGGTTGTTTGTTAAAATGACAGTAACCTGTGACCATTTCTGTCTCTTCACAAGAAAAAGAAAGGTAGCGGGTCTTCTAACTCCCCTGCTATTCTAAAAACACCTCCAATTTCCAGAGTCAGTGAAATATCTAGGAAACACACTTTCTGACTTCCTGGCAAAGCCGCCGCGCAATTTGGATACTTTCGGGACCATCCCCGAAGGCTGTCTTGTAGTTGTAAAAGTGTATACTGCCGTGATAAGACATATGCTCTGCTATGGAGCAATTGTCTGGTGGCTCTCCGCAACTGTTGCACTTCTTAACCATGTGCAAAGATTGACGGCCGTCATCGAGATCCTTCTGGGTCTGCTAGTTCCACTTGATCTCCACGTGAAAAAGCAGGTCACTCTGGTATCCTTGCGTCAGAAAAGTAAAGTGCTGTTGAATGGCAGAAATACTGAGGTGGGGTCACTTTCAAATTGTGGGAGAGGCGATCCAGCGATTTCCTATTCTAGAAAGGCGATCGGACTCACTCACTACTCACACTAAGCTCACTTCCTGCTGTATTCCAATCAGAGTGGCCTCAAAACAGGTGTTTTATGCTCCAGAGCCGGCTCTTCCACTTACAGTGCCTCCCCTTCCAGGATCCCTAAGTTCATCTCACGTATGGGATGGTTTGAGTGAAGTTGAGGGGTCGGGCCACTCTTGTCAGAGAGGTATAGTACAAAGGGCTCGAATTTGAGGCCTAGGTACGCGAGAATCCTGTCCGCCATCATATCGTAATTGAGATCCAGATGCACTGCAAAGCTGTGGTATATTAGGATTCAATGTTTTGGAAGTTTTTTAGAGCCTTTAAGACTCTCTTCAACGTTTTCAAAATCTCCCAAATGCACAGGAATGCTTTTAAAGGCTCGACATTTACAGACAGCGGACATTCCTTTTAAAGGTTTCACCATGAAAGGCTCTCAACACATCTAGAAAACCAAAATTCATGGAGGTCCTTAAATAGTTAAAAAAAACTGAAAAATCCTATTTTTAAAAGGTCTTCTGGATTTTATCCCTGAAGTCAGTAAAGGTCCCTAAAGCGTGTGCTCTTAAATGGTCAAGGAACTGCAAATAGTTTCTCTTGATCATTCTTGGACGCTAACGAGGTTCGTGACCGATTTTAGAAACTCCTTAGCGAGCTGGATCCACTTGAAATTGGGGCCGAAAGACAGAGGGTCGGTCTGAATTGTGGCGAACTCACCCTCGGTTTGCTCGGAATTGATTAATTTGACGATTATTTATTCGGTATTTCAATAAAAAGATGGAATTGCAGAGCGAACCGAAGGTGAGTTCGGCACGAACTGGGCCCACTTCTCAAATTGAGACCGGAAAACAGGGGAGGGATTTCAATTATGTTGAACTCACCTTCGGTTCACTCGACAATGATTACTTTGACGATTATTTATTCGGTATTCCAATAAAAAGATAGAATTACCGAGCGAACCGAAGGTGAGTTCGGCACGAACTGGGCCCACTTCTCAAATTGAGACCGGAAAACAAGGGAGGGATTTAATTTATGTTGAACTCACCTTCGGTTCACTCGACAATGATTAATTTGACGATTATTTATTCGGTATTTCAATAAAAAGATGGAATTGCCGAGCGAACCGAAGGTGAGTTCGGCACGAACTGGGCCCACTTCTCAAATTGAGACCGTAAAACACGGGAGTGATTTCAATTATGTTGAAATCACCTTCGGTTCACTCGACAATGATTAATTTGACGATTATTTATTCGGTATTCCAATAAAAAGATGGAATTGCCGAGCGAACCGAGGGTTAGTTCGGCACGAACTGGGCCCACTTCTCAATTTGAGACCGGAAAACACGGGAGGGATTTCAATTATGTTGAACTCACCTTCGGTTCACTCGATAATGATTAATTTGACGATTATTTATTCGGTATTTCAATAAAAAGATGGAATTGCCGAGCGAACCGAAGGTGAGTTCGGCACGAACTGGGCCCACTTCTCAAATTGAGACCGGAAAACACGGGAGGGATTTCATTTATGTTGAAATCACCTTCGGTTCACTCGACAATGATTAATTTGACGACTATTTATTCGGTATTCCAATAAAAAGATGGAATTGCCGAGCGAACCGAAGGTGAGTTCGGCACGAACTGGGCCCACTTCTCAAATTGAGACCGGAAAACAGGGGAGGGATTTCATTTATGTTGAACTCACCTTCGGTTCACTCGACAATGATTAATTTGACGATTATTTATTCGGTATTCTAATAAAAAGATGGAATTGCCGAGCGAACCGAGGGTTAGTTCGGCACGAACTGGGCCCACTTCTCAAATTGAGACCGGAAAACACGGGAGGGATTTCAATTATTGTTTAAATCACCTTCGGTTCACTCGACAAGATTAATTTGACGATTTATTTATTCGTATTCCATAAAAAGATGGAATTGCGAGCCGGACCGGAAGGTGCAGTCGGGCACGAAAAAATTTTTTGGGGGGGCCTCAACTACTCAAATGAGGCCGGAAAACACGGGCGTGGTTTCAATTGTGTCGAATTCAACTTTCGGTTCGCTCGACAATTGATTTAATTTGACGATTATTCATTCGGTATTTCAGTCAAAAAGATGGGATTGCCAATGAACCGAAGGTGAGTTCGCACGAACTGGGCCCACTTCTCAAATTGAGACGGAAAAACAGGGGAGGGTATTTCATTTATGTTAACTCAACCTTCGGTTCACTCGACATGAATTAATTGACGATTAGTAATTCGGTATGTCGCAAATAAAGACTGATTGCCGAGCGAACCGAAGGTGAGTTCGGCACGAACTGGGCCCACTTCTCAAATTGAGACCGGAAAACACGGGAGGGATTTCATTTATGTTGAAATCACCTTCGGTTCACTCGACAATGATTACTTTGACGATTATTTATTCGGTATTCCAATAAAAAGATGGAATTGCCGAGCGAACCGAAGGTGAGTTCGGCACGAACTGGGCCCACTTCTCAAATTGAGACCGGAAAACACAGGAGGGATTTCATTTATGTTGAACTCACCTTCGGTTCACTCGACAATGATTAATTTAACGATTATTTATTCGGTATTCCAATAAAAAGATAGAATTGCCGAGCGAACCGAAGGTTAGTTCGGCACGAACTGGGCCCACTTCCCAAATTGAGACTGGAAAACACGGGAGGGATTTCAATTATGTTGAAATCACCTTCGGTTCACTCGACATTGATTAATTTGACGATTATTTATTCGGTATTTCAGTAAAAAAGATGGGATTGTCGAGCGAACCGAAGGCAGGAACCGGACTAGCCTCTGACTCTCTTGACATTTGATGCTAATTTATTCGGTACGATATTTCTCATCTGTCATAAATCAGATCAAATTACGACGTTTCATGCGATGCACAATAGAAAGCCTTTATCTGCCTTTGAAGGATCGTAAAGGCTATAAACTGAAAGACTGCCTTTGATGACTTTTGGGAGTTTGTTCAAGGTCTCTTGAAAGATTTTAAAACTTGAAAAAAACTTCTGAAAGCTATGAAGTACGTTCAAGGGTTCTTAAAGGCTATGAAAGACTAAAAGTTTGCAGAACAAGCCCCTATAATGAGCCGAAAAGCGAGCATGTCTATAAAAGTCTTCTAGAAATTGAAATTATGTAGCACTTGGTGGGTGCCGACAGATGTGACTACTTCTTATCAATTAACTTAAGAGCTCCATCTCCCTCTCGCCTCAAATTTGCGCCTACCGCTCAATCGTGCTCGTGCAAGATCCAAAGTCAATTTCCCAAATTTTAGGATGCAATTTCTAATTAAAATGCCTTGACCTATCTCAACACCAGAAGAGGTATCGGAAAAGCAAATTCAGGTACCTGGAGCAAATGAAAAAGGAGCAATGTAAGGAATGTCGTTTATTCAAAAAATGGCGAGAATCTTAGCAGCCTTCCTGTTCCACCTCTTGCAAATTCTCCAGGTCGAATCCGTATTCGTGTAACTTCGAGTAGACGTTCCCAATTAATATCTAAAAACTAAAGCTGGGTGTAGGCTTTCAAAGGCAACCTACCTTCTCCATGCGCTTCATCGCCTTGGGATCGCGTATCCGACGCAGCAGGTACACCTTCCGCGTATAGGTCTCCTCCTGCTCGCAGGTGAAAATAACCGCAACGTTTCTGTAGTCCGTCGCAAGTACGGACATTCTGATCTCGTCGACAGCCTGGTTGAGGAAAATCGTCTCGTCTCCGTCGATTTTGTCCGTACCCAAGCTTGTCTTCGAAACGGGATTAATCGGTCGATCCTCCTCAATAATGTTGTAGTTGAAGATGAACTTGAAGCGACTATCACCCCAGACGCTCTTCAGCACGTAAACCGTGTCCGAACTGTTATCGATGATGAACGACTGACACGATACTGGCTTGGAGGATCCACCCTCCTCGTTTACAGTGGCCGTCTCGTAGACGAACCACTCGCCGACCATCTACAACTCGTCAAGTTGAGCCACCCCTAGCACTTCAACTCACCTGTCGCATGTCCAAACCCTCCATCGACCTCTCGTGCGGGCAAACCGCACCTTCGGTCACTGGGGGTGGTAATCCCGTGGCCGCCGAGATGGTCACGAAAATTGTTATTAGTAATTTTTGCATCGCTCGTCCGCAGTTGGAGCCGCTCTGATACAATCGACCCGATTGTCATTTTCGAGGGTCAACATTATCGACCTCGACTGTTTTGAAGACAATCGAGTGACGGAAGTGATTATGCGACCCTGCACATTATAAATGCGCATTTTGTAAACTTTATGTACACGAGGACCTGGAGCAAATGTCACCCGAAAGCGCGGCGCCAAAGCAGCGCGGAATATACGTCTAAGGTACCTGGATTACATTTTTCCGTTGCGCTTGTGTTACTTCCAGAGGGTAGTATTAACCCTACCGTCTGGATCTGATCTCGTCTTCTTCGACACTTTCTCGATCTTCACCTTCGCTGGCTTCTTTTGTTATTTTAACAGTTTGGATGGAGTTCCCATGTCGCCTTCCTCCTGGTCTTCTGGCTGCAGTATCTCCTCTAGCGTTTCCGTTCGTCTGTCCGTCCATCCGGACACCTTCCTGCGGTTTTGAACTACCTTTAGGGGAATGGTCCTAGAGTCCTAATTTTCTGCAATGGGTGTGCCAGAAGGATATCATATTTTTTTGTCTTAAGGGGAGCCCCCCCCCTCCTCGCCGCTATGAACCATTTCTTGAGATGCTGATTTTGAGAGTAAAGCGTGCGACAACCAATTGGTCCCATATTTTGCATGCATTTAGTGGTGCCAAGTAAAACTTTTGTTGGGTGGAGGGGGGTGGGGGTGAAAACAAAACGTTCTACCCTTCATTTGGTATCTACACCTACTGCTGGATAGTAAGACTCGTTAAAAAATCTTGAACGAGCAACTTAAGGAGCGGATTCCAAAGAAGAACACCCTAAGAACATTCTTGCACATTTTACCTCTTCTGGCATTCAACTTTTACAGCCTTCTCTTTCACTGTACTGCCCTACCATTCTCTCTCCTTCTCTAGCGTGAGTTCATTGATCTGTCCGGATGCCCATACAAGAACGCTTGTAGAAAGACGATGAATGTACATGTACCTACCGGCGCCGTGTAATCAACAACTTTAAGGACGGGGCTACATGATGGGTCGGCGACCTCTTAGCGCCATCCCTGAGCGTGTTATACTATCGTGATGATTTTTTTTCCTAGGGGTGTAATTAACCACCTTTTGCAAGGCGCGCGTCTTCGAGGGGTAGTAGACCTCGGGCGCCCAAAAGGTATCTTCTGCTGCGAATGTTGTTACGCTTCCTACAGCACCATTCTGAAGAAAAGACGAAGATCAAGATGAGGATTTAAGATGAAAATGAAGATCAAGATGCAGATCAAGATGAAGATCACGATGAAGATCAACATACAGATCAAGATGCAGGTCAAGATGAAGATCAAGATGAAGATCAAGATGAAGATCAAGATAAAGATCAAGATAAAGATCAAGATAAAGATCAAGATAAAAATCAAGATAAAGTTCAAGATAAAGATCAAGATAAAGATCAAGATGCAGATCAAGATGAAGATCAAGATGAAGATGCAGATCAAGATGAATATCAAGATTAAGATCAAGATGAGTGTCAAGATGAAGATTAAAATGAAGATCAAGATGAAGATCAACATAAAGATCAACATGAAGATCAAGGTGAAGATCAAGGTGAATATAAAGATGAAGATCAACATGAAGATCAGGTGAAGATCAAGGTGAAGATCAAGATGAAGATCAAGATGAAGGTAAAGATGAAGATCAAGGTAAAAGTAAGGAACGAGATCAAGATGAAGATTAAGACGAATATCAAGACAAAGATCAAGATGAAGATGAAGATCAAGACGAAGATCAAGATGGAGATCAAGATGAAGATCAAGATAATGATGAAGAAGATGAAGATCAAGATTAAGATCAAGATCAAGGTGAAGATCAAGATGAAAATAAAGATCGAGATCAAGAAGATCAAAATGAAGATCAAGATGTGTCAAGATGGATATTAAGATGAAAATCAAGATAAAGATCAACATGAAGATCAAAGTGAAGATCAAGGTGAATATAAAGATGAAGATCAAGATGAAAATCAAGATGAAGGTAAAGATGAAGATCAAGATAAAAGTAAAGAACGAGATCAAGATGAAGATCAAAACGAAGACCAAGATGAAGATGAAGATCAAGACGAAGATCAAGATGGAGATCAAGATGAGGATGAAGAAGATGAAGATCAAGATTAAGATTAAGATTAAGGACAAGGTGAAGATCAAGAAGAAAATAAAGATCGAGATCAAGAAAATCAAAATGCAGATCAAGATTAAGATCAAGATGAAGATCAAGGAGAAGATCAAGATGAGTGTCAAGATGAAGAATTAAGATGAAGATCAAGATGAAAATCAACATGAAGATCAAGACGAAGATCAAGATGAAGATGAAGATCAAGACGAAGATCAAGATGGAGATCAAGATGAAGATCAAGATGAGGATGAAGAAGATGAGGATGAAGAAGATGAAGATTAAGATCAAGATCAAGATGAAGATCAAGATGAAAATAAAGATCGAGATCAAGAAGATCAAAATGAAGATCAAGATGCAGATCAAGATGAATATCAAGATAAAGATCAAGATAAAGATCAAGATAAAGATCAAGATGCATATCAAGATGAAGTTCAAGATGAAGATCAAGATGAAGATCAAGACGAAGATCAAGACGAAGGTCAAGATGAAGATCAAGATGAGGATGAACATGAAACAGATGAAGATCAAGATTAAGATCAAGATGAAGATGAAAATCATACTTAAACAAATTTGAGTAAAGCAGAAGCTTTTTCTCTCATTGGAACCTTTCAGGAATCGCCTATTACAAAGATTAAGAATCTAAAGTCCGGTGAAGATTATAAAAAAAGGGTATAAAAATTTAGTGGTAAAGACATTTTGGTCAATCAGAAATTCTGAAAGGGGGCTCCAACCTTCATTTGAACCTTTCTTTAATAACCTTCCAGGCCACTGAGCGTCTAAGGTCCGATGAAGATGCTAAGAAAAGCTCCAATAGTGCAAAAAAATCTGTTAAAGGCACCACAACTCTCATTTAAAACTTTTTGGTATCGCGTACCGAATAATTCAGAATTTAAGGTCCAGTGAAGATCATAAAGAAGCGTCAATGGTAAAAAGAAGGTAGATTAGAGCAGGAGTTGTTCAAACTTTCATTTAAACCTTTCTGAAATTCTGAAATATTTGTTCGAATCTGACATTTCTGGTCAAAAATGTGGGCTAGCAAAAAGAAAACCAGGCAAAGAATTTAATGGTCTTGATCGAGGTCAATAGAATTAACCCTTCAAGAGGAGGGTCATGTCATAGCCAAAGGCAGGTGCTTGAAAACCGCAAACAAGTATGTCATATTCTGTATACTCTTCGCCCGTGAGACCATGGTGTGAAATTCAAGCTCCGTTACATAACAGCCCTATTAAAAACATTTATTTCGGATGATCATGATTATGAGGGAAATGAAATTCCTCAATGTTGCCGTGCAGGATGCAAACTATTATAATGTAATTATTGTAATATGCAAATTGGAACATATGTAAGAAACTAAGTGAGCACATTTCTTGGAAAGTTTTCAGTAGCTCTTTAAAGACCCTAGAGCTACTCTCGGTTGTGTGCGGCTAGGAGCTTTGATTTTTGATTTTGTGTTACGCAGTCGCTTCCCGGCTGGACCTGGGTTATTACAACATACGTAATGATTGTGATATTTTTGATTTTATTGCCGACTGCAATAAACTATGAGCTAACCGTCGGCATAATAAAGTTTTACGTGCAGGTATCATCATTTTTAAATTTCTTAACGAAGAGCAAATTTTATTATCAGTATATTAATCGATCTCTAGCCGTTTAAACGAACCATCCGCGCCGAAAGTACCATTGGCATTGGCTGGCCTTGCAACCCTCTTTGTTTCATCGGCAATCTGCGTCTCTTCGTTTACGAAGTATTCGGCGAAGTCGATCAAATTTTGAATATGGGTCTCTGTAATAGGTCTGTTACTCCAAACTTCAACCTAAGTGAATGATACCATGGAGTTCTTTCAACGAGGGTTGTTGGCCACCGTAGTCACTGGGAAAGTACTCCTTTGGAACGTATTGGAAGACCGTTTCTACGGAACCGTGGACGTGCAACTAGAAAAACCTGGTACATTTGGGGGTTTTTGATAATAGCAAGCGTACAGAATTAAACAGCTCGTTTTTCACGACAGGTTTTATCATGGCCATGATACTATCGAGTATACCTATCGCATTAAAGTAGTGCACTGCTTTTAGACGGACGGGAACTGCATCCTGCAGGTACGTATAGGAGTTTCGCACTGTCGAAAGGCTAACTCTTAATATGTGAGCAAATGTCGCCCCCTCGAGATCGCAAACAACGACTATACCGTCCGCTGTACCATTTTGCAACAAATCGAGTGTGATACCCATATCCAGAAGCTTGACGGTTTCGTTTGGGTCAAATTTTCCTATCTCACTAACAAACATCTTGTACAATAAGATTCGGTTGCCGTCGTGTGTTTTCTTTGGGAGACTCACAAAGCAACTGTAAAGAAACGAATAAAAATGTTAATCGCCATGGGCACTTCTTACCTCGAATCGATCTGCACTCGGACTTCCGCCCTTCGGGGATCTCGATTCGCGAAGAACTCCGGGCATTGGGCGCGCAGCGTGAAGAACGACTCGATCGTCGATTTGGCCAACTCCGTGCTGTAGTAGCAGCTGTGCAGGAAGAAGATGAGCTGAACCTCTGAAACGGCAACGCTTACTTCCTCTGGCCAAAGGTATAAGATGTCATACCAGAAATCGGTGGTAGGTGGCGCTGCTTTTCCGCCCAACCCTTCAGAATCATCACATCGTCCTTTCGTAATCTCCCATCTTTCTCGTATTCACTTTGCGCGCTTACGTTCCTCATTGGATGATCTATTTCGCAGGATTGAATCGAATGTTCACATGCAACTGCTGCTAAGTGTGAGGAAGGTCGTAACCTCAACATTAATTTCACATGACGTCAGTAAATGACCGCATTTAAATGTAGTCAAAAGGAAAATGATATTGCCAATGTTAATTGTTACACCACGATACCTATCAGCTTGAAATTATCCCATCTTTACATTTTTATTTAGTAATTGAAATTCCAGTGTGCAAATTATGTAGTTTTGGTGTACTTACATTGCAAATAAATGACTGCGCATAAATGAATATTCAAAATTCTCTTCAGAAACTGTGGTGCAAAAATTATTACAAGGCGTGATGCAAAATGCACTTGAATTTCAAACGTTCCTTGATCCTCTTGAACCCTCCTCTCTTTGTCTCTGTCGCATTCATCCTCTCTATACCTTATACTTCTCCCCTCCAAAGATACAGTTTCTAATAGATAGATAGAAGCCTTATCACGTATCGAAACCATCTCCGGGCGTCGATTCCAAACTATTCCGAGAACGTGCAATGTATGGAGTCCTCCATGGGTGCTTTGGTGTCCTGCCCCAGCCCCCAAAGAGTTACTCCGCTGCTATCAGAGCGTCAGCAGTTCACGATTGTGTGCAAATTCCTTCGGGGAAGTCCGTACCGCCTGTTCCTAGGTCCACTGTCATCGTGGTACCTACACCCCCCGACGCAATAAAGACATACGACGTGACAAAGACAGCACTCATGAAAGTCCTAGACCCTAAAAGTCAAGATGGACAAAATCCCCGTAGACCTTCTCGAGAAAGCCGGCCTCACCTACAAGTCGCAAGTCCTTGGCTTTCTACCTTGTATGTCTCCTCTGATTTCTCCGGAGCAGGTCCAGGAAACCATCCTCTCCCAGAACTTTTGTTCTGCTTCCGAGGAAGTCCTCCTTGGCGGAAAAATCCTAATGTTCTGTCTGGGACCGCGCGAAGGAGTACGCGTCATTGGATACTTTGAGTGCACTCGGTGCCTTACGCCAGCGTCTCTCGGCTGGCAGTCGTGTATACGTCGCGTCGGGTGGAATGCCTGCCTCACCATAATAATCCGAATCGTGCGGTGCTTTATGTGCCAAAAATTCGGCCATAACTCTTCCGACTGCCGTACTGAACTTCAATTCATCTGCAACATCTCGACTATGTCTTGGACGAGTTGCAAGTTCTTAATAGCAGGCGGTTTTAATTCGACATGGCCGCGGAGGAAACTCTGCAAAGAGGCTGGAAGAGTTGGTTTGTCATCCTGGTAGTGTGAAAAACGGACAGGCTGAATAAGGTAGTGCGCACATTGGGGTGTCTCCAGAAAGGCCCAGGTGAGGGTTTGGGATCTCTTAAAGATTCATGCTACACGTAAATTTTTTTCCCGATAGGCGCTTTTCATCAAGGTCCCGCTTCATCCAAATATGTTCACTTCTTTCTAACGTTTTCGTCGGTCTTCAGATTTTCACGGAAACGAAAGGTAAATCAAAAAAGTTCCAGGAGAGAGTTGGAGCTCCCTTAAGATCTCCCGCTCTACACCGATTTCTTCTCCTCTGTTGCCATTTTTTGTCATTTTAATTGGACGTGAAGGTCCGGACAGGAAGGCTCATTGGACCCTAATTTTTTAACTTCTGCGGACTCTTTCGTCATCGTCCCCTTACCACGGATATCCATTTGTCCGGAAGGTGATTACAGAAAGTTTCAGATGAGAGTTGGAACTCCGGCCCTTTCCTGCTCTACTCGGGTGGCGCCTTCTTAATATCTTCTTAGATTCTCAATCGTCCGGATTGCAGTGATTGTGGAAAGGTTCCGATGACGACTTCCACAACCAGTACTGATTTATCTGTGGGGCCGTTTCTAAACATCTTCATGGGCCCGGAATTTAATTTCAAATATGTTCAGATGAGACTTGGGCGCCCTTTTAGATGTTCGCACTATACTGAGAGGTTCCACCCTGTATATACAACTTACGGGGATGCACACAATTTTGAGAGTTGACAACCACGCAATTTTTAGAAGTGGAAAAGGCCATATTTGATGAAAGGAAAGATCATCGATCTCCCCTTTCTTGTAAAATAACGATCAGAGCACGGGGGCTGTAAATTTTGGAGACGAGTACAGCAACAGGGGATCTGGGAGGTATAGAAGATTTAAACGCTCCACGCAGCATTACAGTGACTAACTTAAATTTGTTTCAAACACTCCGACGAGCCGCAATCGTGACTAATTTTCGTTTTATCTTTTTTTCTCGATTTTAAGCGAAATTTGCCCCACGGACATTTGTTACACGGCCTGATTTAAATATTTCATTAACTAAAAATATTACCTAGTACCAACTGCGGGTGATTCACTTACAAACGCTTTTATCTGTTTGACGCGCACTCTCTCGTGGCTACCCGAGTATTGCCCCACGCTTATATCCGAACGACTTCTTCCTCAGCACGTGCATTTTTTGAACATCCCGCTCTTTTCCTGCGAAATAGGCTGATTCAGCTGGACTGTCACGTACCTTCGTCAATTTCGCTTTCCACAGTCTTGCGCTAAAACGGAAATATTCAGTCAGGACCGTACTCGGAACTTAAATGCGTTATCTTTAGCTTTGATTAATTGCTTGAGAAACTAATTCCGGATCTAAATGAGGCACCAGGTATAAAAGATATTAGTATTGTAGTGTACTTAACCTCCATGGAAATAACGTCAACCCAGAAACGTTTAAAAATGGCCACCCGAATGATGATTCCCTCCAAAATTAAACAAGATCCCGCTTAAATTTGAAAAATGGCACGTGATCAAACATCTAAGGCAGGGCACCCCATTAATGTAAGCAAAGCCAAAAGGCGTCTTACTCTCGCAGAAGTAACTGCCAAGGGCAGAAAGAGTACGACGAAAGAAAACCTTGCAGTTTGATTAATGCAGTAATAAAATTAGTTAACAAAATAATTTGTAAAATTATCAAGTTTTGACAGTGGTTAACAAAGATAGTAAATTTTGGAAGCAATGGGTACCTAAATTCTGACAAAAGGGCGAAGGACACAGGATGTGACAAATTACATGGCCTTGTAGGAAAATTTGACTAATGGCCAAAATATGTGAAAGTTATTAAATCGCAACTCATATACCACACACATAGATTCTAAACCAAAGAGTTTTTCATTAGCGTAATCTTGCCTCAAGATAGATAACTTGCCCCTGGTTTCGGGGTTTCGAGCCTACAGTTGAAAGTCGAAGACAATCACGGAATTAGGTGTCGTAACTCAAATTGATTACAGTTTTGACCACCCCCGTGACTGCTACATTCATGGAGAAAATGTTAGTTACAAACAACAAGTTACACAACTCGCTAATTTCCACATATTAAAATAAAATGATCAAAATTTCTATGAATGTTACTTCTCGTTTAGACCATGTAATCAAAACATAAGCAAACATTACACCAAAAACGTAGACGATTACAAACAAAAGGATAACGGTATCAAATATGTGATTCTGCATTAAGGTTAAATCAAGTAAATTTCAAAAACAAAGATTGAAACTCACAAAAATATAAAATGCTGCATACAAAACACCAATACGATATAAAAAAAAGCAAAGATTACTGCCTGCATTAAATAACACAAAATAACAACAAACATTATCGCCATTAAAAACAAGATGCCAAACGTAACCAACAATCGTGCTCTCCATATGGTGCAGGTAGCTTTTCCACTTCTAAAAATTGCGTGGTTGCCAACTCTCAAAATTGTGTGCATCCCCGTAAGTTGTATATACAGGGTGGAACCTCTCAGTATAGTGCGAACATCTAAAAGGGCGCCCAAGTCTCATCTGAACATATTTGAAATTAAATTCCGGGCCCATGAAGATGTTTAGAAACGGCCCCACAGATAAATCAGTACTGGTTGTGGAAGTCGTCATCGGAACCTTTCCACAATCACTGCAATCCGGACGATTGAGAATCTAAGAAGATATTAAGAAGGCGCCACCGGAGTAGAGCAGGAAAGGGCCGGAGTTCCAACTCTCATCTGAAACTTTCTGTAATCACCTTCCGGACAAATGGACATCCGTGGTAAGGGGACGATGACGAAAGAGTCCGCAGAAGTTAAAAAATTAGGGTCCAATGAGCCTTCCTGTCCGGACCTTCACGTCCAATTAAAATGACAAAAAATGGCAACAGAGGAGAAGAAATCGGTGTAGAGCGGGAGATCTTAAGGGAGCCCCAACTCTCTCCTGGAACTTTTTTGATTTACCTTTCGTTTCCGAGAAAATCTGAAGACCGACGAAAACGTTAGAAAGAAGTGAACACGAAGCGGGACCTTGATGAAAAGCGCCTATCGGGAAAAAAATTTACGTGTAGCAGGAATCTTTAAGAGATCCCAAACCCTCACCTGGACCTTCTAGAGACACCCCAATGTGCGCACTACCTTATTCAGTCTGTCCAGTTTTTCACACTACCAGGATGACGAACCAACTCTTCCAGCCTCTCTGCAGTTTCCTCCGCGGCCATTTCGAATTAAAACCGCCTGCTATTAGGATTTTGCAACTCGTCCCAGACATAGTCGAGATGTTGCAGATGAATGGAAGTTCAGTTCGGCAGTCGGGAGAGTTATGGCCGAATTTTTGGCACATAAAGCACCGCACGATTCGGATAATTATGGTCAGGCTCTGGAGAAATCAGAGGAGATATACAAGATAGAAAGCCAAGGACTTGCGACTTGTAGGTGAGGCCGGCTTTCTCGAGAAGGTCTACGGGGATTTTGGAGACATCCAAGGAGGATTGCATACACATAGTTTGCAATCGACAACCTTGCCCCCGGAGATGGTTTCGATACGTGACAAGGCTTCTATCATTTCAGATCTTTCAGAAACTGTATCTTTGGAGGGGAGAAGTATAACATATAGAGGATGAATGTGGCAGAGACAAATAGAGGAGGGTTCAAGAGGATCAAGGAACGTTTGAAATTCAAGTGCATTTTGCATCACACCTTATAATAATTATTGCACCACACCTTCTTCATTTATTTTTAATTTTGAATATCCATTTATGCGCAGTCATTTATTTGCAACGTAAGAATACCAAAAGTACATAATTTCCACACTAGCATTTCAATTACTAAATAAAAATGTAAAGATGGGATAATTTCAACCTGATAGGTATGGTGGTTTAACAATAATTACCATTGGCAATATCATTTTCCTTTTGACTGAGTTACTTTTAAATGGGGCCATTTACTGACGTCATGTGAAATTAATGTTGAGGTTGCGACCTTCCTGTACAATTAGCAGCAGCTGCATGTGAACATTCGATTCAATCCTGCGAAATTGATCATCCAATGAGGAACGTAAGCGCGCAAAGTGAGTACGAGAAAGATGGGAGATTACGAAAGGACGATGTGATGATTCTGAAGGGTTGGGCGGAAAAGCAGCGCCACCTACCACCGATTTCTGGTATGGTATCTTATACTTTCGGTCAAGGGAAGTAAGCGTTGCCGTTTCAGAGGTTCAGCTCATCTTCTTCCTGCACAGCTGCTACTACAGCACGGAGTTGGCCAAATCGACGATCGAGTCGTTCTTCACGCTGCGCGCCCAATGCCCGGAGTTCTTCGCGAATCGTGATCCCCGAAGGGCCGAACTCCGAACGCACATCGATTCGGTGTAGGTGGCCATGGCGATTAATATTTTTATTCGTTTCTTTGCAGCTTCAGTATGTGTTTGCCGAAAAAAACCCACGACGGCAACCGAATCTTATTGCACAAGATGTTTGATAGCGACATTGGAAAGTTTGACGCAAACGAATCCGCCAAGGTCCTGGATATGGGTATCATATTCGAGCTGTTTCGAAATGGTACATCGGACGGTCTAGTCGTGGTTTGTGACCTCGAGGGGATAACATTTGCTCATATGCTAAGAATTAACTTTTCGACACTTCGAAACTGGTTTACGTACCTACAGGTAATAACCTTGGTACTTACTGGTTCGTTAATTTTGTGCTTAGGATGCAGTTCCCATCCGTCTAAAAGCAATCCACTTCCTTAATGCAGTAGGTCTACTTGATAGCATGATGGCTGTGATAAAACCCATCGTGAGAAACGAGCTGTTTAATTCTGTACGCCTGCAATTATAAAAACCCCTAAGTGTACCAGGTTTTTTTTTAGTTGCACGTGCACGGTTCCGTAGAAACGGTCTTCCAATACATCCCCAAGGAGAACTTTCCCAGAGACTATGGTGGACAACAACCGTCGCTCAAAGACCTTCATGGTACCCTCTTCGCTTAGGTTGAAGTTTGGAGTAATAGACTTATTTCAGAGACCCATACGCAAAATTTGATACATTTCGCCGATTACTTCGTAAAAGCAGAGGCGCACATTACGGATGAAACAAAGAGGGTTGCAAGGCCATCCAATGCTGACGGCGCTTTTGGCACAGATGGTTCGTTTAAACGACTAGAGGTCGATTAATATACTGATAATAAAATTTTGAAAATGATACCTGAAAACCGACCGACGGCTAGCTCATAATTATTAATTTGCAGCAATTAAATAGACCTTGTCTTATGTATTGAATAAAAAGCCAAAACCCGCTCTTCATTTTTTATTTCAAAGCCCCTACTCAAAATCGTACATTTCCAATCTAAATGGTCGCTCTTTATTTATTTAACTCTTTTTTAAAACAATAGCGTTCATAATAATTGCTCGCAGTCTTCTTGACATTTCGTGCGATTGCACCAAATGACGCAATTCACCGGCAAACGAAAATGTCACTGATCTGCGCCGGGCTTACGTTACGCCGTTAATTTTTTGTCCACTGCCCTAAGTTCAGGGCCCACGAGTTTAAATTCGCGTGATTTCAAACTTCCACTGTCTGCGATTTACGAATAATTTCGCGACTTTGTTGCCGGTACCAGGGATACATCAAAGCCTGATAGGTTTAACGATTCCGGGAAGCTTTGATTCTAGAGGAGATATAACAGATTTCAATTCCCTAGCTTCATTCCGTAAATTGAGATTTAAATAAAAAATTTTGGCCACGTTGCCAATGAACGCTTCTGGTAATGTTGCCGGCATCAGGAGTACATCAAACTTTACAAAATTCTGTGCGCCTGATAGGTTTAATGACAACTGGAAGCAGAGCTGGGCAGTATTCGACTTTGTAAATACTTTTTAGTATTCAAATCCTTTAATTTAAAGTATTCAAATACTTTGTAATTAAATACTTTTATGGAAGCAGTATTTGTTTTTGTAACTCAAATACTTTCACAAATATTTAGTATCAGTTTACTTCGCAAAGTATTTGGATACTTCGCTTAGTATTTGAATACCATCCTTTTTTACCAAAAATCGACTACTCCAAAATTTCTCGGGGAAACACTTTTTCTTATTAATTTTGGTGCGTAGAATCCAAAACAATTCGTACTTTTTCGATCAGACTTCTCAATCAAAAGTTATAGACTAGAAACCAATTTCGAAAGAAAATTCAAAGGGCTGTAACTTTTGAACTAGTAGCCCAATCTTGGAACTGTTTGAAATTATGGATTCTACAGGCCACATTCTATAAGAAAATTTTTTTTCCGGGTCGATCTGAGACAATTTTTTTTCGGGGCTCAAAAAAAGGCAGTGTATAACCTTCCTTTTTTACCAAAAATCGACTACACCAAAATTTCTCGGGAAAACACTTTTTCTTATTAATTTTGGTGCATAGAATCCAAAACAATTCGTACTTTTTCGATCAGACTTCTCAATCAAAAGTTATAGACTAGAAACCAATTTCGAAAGAAAATTCACAGGGCTGTAACTTTTGAACTAGTAGCCCAATCTTGGAACTGTTTGAAATTATGGATTCTACAGGCCACATTCTATAAGAAAATTTTTTCCGGGTCGATCTGAGACAATTTTTTTTTCGGGGCTCAAAAAAAGGCAGTGTATAACCTTCCTTTTTTACCAAAAATCGACTACACAAAAATTTCTCGGGAAAACACTTTTTCTTATTAATTTTGGTGCGTAGAATCCAAAACAATTCGTACTTTTTCGATCAGACCTCTCAATCAAAAGTTATAGACTAGAAACCAATTTCGAAAAAAATTCAAAAGGCTGTAACTTTTGAACTAGTAGCCCAATCTTGGAACTGTTTGAAATTATGGATTCTACAGGCCACATTCTATAAGACAATTTTTTTTCCGGGTCGATCTGAGACAATTTTTTTTCGGGGCTCAAAAAAAGGCAGTGTATAACCTTCCTTTTTACCAAAAATCGACTACACCAAAATTTCTCGGGAAAACACTTTTTCTTATTAATTTGGGTGCGTAGAATCCAAATCAATTCGTACTTTTCGATCAGACTTCTCAATCAAAAGTTAT